ACTGAAACATAAGGCTGAGGACAAGATGAGGAGGGAAAGATCAAGGAAGAGAGTAAAAGAAGGTTGCTTCAGTTCAGATTTAATTCCTCAATGCAGCATAAATGTCAAGTGAGCAGTTTTTCCAAATCACAGATGGGACATTTTGCCATTGTGCATCTCAGAAGCTGGTGAGTCATATAAATGCTATTTACTGAGACAACCTTCCTGTATAGTAAAATCTCATCAATCAGAGAACAGAGAGTTGTAGGTTTATTTCACCCATACACATGCACTGATAGTTTCCTTAACCACAAATAATAGATAATAAAAGAGACCAGGGCTAGTTGTCACACTTTTTAATCTGCACTGAATATAAATTTAGTTCTGTACTCCCTAGTGAAACACTTAGCACTAACATGCTAAGTATACTACAAATGCATTTACATATTTATGTACTTAATAAAAATGCCCTGCAATTGTATTATTGGTATACTAAACTGGTATACTTAAAGTCTGCTAAAGTAGAACAACTGATGTACTTTTTGCACTTTTATTGTGTGGAAGTAGTGCTGAAGTCCAACTAAAGATATACTGAAGTATATTTGATTGTGCTAAAATGGAACTATTGCAAGTATACGTCAGGTACACTTTAAATATCTTGCATTTAAAGATCAATATTATTCAAAGATCATACAGTCCTCATCAATAATGATGTTAAAACACATTTTAGGCTTTAATTTGGAAAGTAAAAAGACTGAACACGTATTGACAAGTAGTGAGGCATGTTGTCTTAGTAGAACCTGACAAAGGAAAAGTTCACCAAAAATGAAAATTTGCTAAAATGTACTCACCCTCAGGCCATCCAAGATGTAGATGAGCTTCTTTCTTCATCAGAACAGATTTGCAGAAAATCCACTAGTAATCCACATGACTCCCAGTCTATCGACTGACGTCTGGAACAGATTTGCAGAAATTCTGCATTACATCACTTGCTCACCAATATATCCTCTGCAGTGAATGGGTGCCGTCAGAATGAGAGTCCAAACAGCTGATAAAAACATCACAATAATCCACTAGTAATCCACATGACTCCCAGTCTATCGACTGACGTCTTGTGAAGTGAAAAGCTGTGTTTGTAAGAAACAAATCTATTATTAAAGTGTTTTAACTTTAAAACTTTATCCATAATAATGCTTCCTCCAGTAAAAAAAGTCTATCCCCTGTTGTCATCTCACATCAAAATCCACCTAGAACTGTTTTGGACTGTTCTCACTTGCTGATCTGTGCATATTTCTCTTCAGACCAGATGACTTTTTCACTGGAGAAATCAATATTATGGATAGAAGACTCATATTTTAAAGCAACGATTTGAAGTTAAAAACATATTAATGACAGATTTGCTTATTACAAAAGCACAGCTTTGCACTTCACTAGACATTAATTGATGTATTGGAGTCATGTTGTAGATTGTTGTGATGGTTTCATCTCATTCTGACGGCACCCATTCACTGCAGAGGATCCATTGGTGAGCAAGTGATGTAATGCTACATTTCTCCAAATCTGTTCTGATGAAGAAACAAAGTCATCTACATTTTGGGTGGCCTGAAAGTAGAGTAAATTTTCAGCAAATTTTTCATTTATTGGGTGAACTATTTCTTTAAACAGGCTTTTTAAGCAAAACTGAAACAGCAAAACAATCACTAAACTTGAAACAACAAAGATGGAAAATGGTACAGTTCAAAAATAGCAAACCATTTTTTGGCAAACAATAATCAGTAATCAATAAATTGTTTTAAATTACTATATGAAACAACTTTCCCCATTTATGAACTTCTGACAACTAGCCCAAATATCCTCCATTACTGCAAATCATATGATTTGTCTAACAATGAGCTTTGGGTGTATTCGGTGTATTCAAGCATTTTAACTGACACAACAATCAGTTTTTGTAAAGGCTAGAAAATAAACCGTTTTTAAGCATTTTGGTTGTTTTCAAGAGTGAAGTTTCACTGAAGAAAACAAACCCCTTTTCTTGTTATGTTCTCGTTAAAACTCAGCCTTTTAGCAACCCCCATATCAATATTACTATTCACTGATTCAAAACTAAAAGATTTTCACACTGACCTGACATGGATGTCTGCTGGGCTGATTTGAGATGTGAAAGGCATGAGAAGGCATTAGTCAGAGCTGCAGTCTGCTGTCAGAATTCTTCCTTAGGCCGTCAGCTTCTCCCCATAAGATCACCCTATAGGATCTAGCCTTCTCTGATGTTTTCAATGTCAAACAGTCAGAATTACTGAAGCTTAAGAAGAGGTTAAATTGCTTTGAAAGAGATAGATGGTCTACTCTTTTATGGAATAGAATAGAATAGAATAGAATAGAATAGCTTCTTTGAGTTTTAGTGTGTATGATTAAAACTAAACAGTGTCTAATGTTGTCTTTCAATCCCACACTTTCCTACCATGCAATCTCATCTCTTTGAGGACAATCCATCGGTAATCAATTGAGCTCCATCTATGACATGCGTGTGGGAGAGCATTTTATCTGTTGATTTCATAAGCAGATGACTCGACTAACATTCCGCACATGTTTGCTCAAGTTTGATTAGAGTGGACGCAATTTGCAATAAAGATTGAACGCGAGCAGTCTGGCTGCATGAGTGCGCATAGAAGCGATGAATTATGTATGCGCGAGACAAAACAAATGTGTCAAATGTCATATTACACTGGATAATTTCCCACTGGCAGAAAAGCAGCATTTTAAACTGAGAAAAGGCTGCAAGCGTGTAAGTCACAGAGTTACAGAAAACTGCATAAATCATATTCAACTCAGCTAATGACCAAACTTGCAACCAATCACCGTATTATTATGTGATTTGATTACTTTTTTTAGTAGCTTCACAATATTAAAAGGAAGGTCGACGACATAGCAAGTAAAATAATACAACCTTAATGGGTTGAAGGTTTATGAGTTTAAGGATATTTACAAGGATGTTGATCTTCTGTATGTACAGTGTTGGCAAGTTACTAAATTATGTAATTTAATTACAAAATAAATGTAATTGTAATCAGTTACAGTTATTGAGAAAAAATGTGTAGGCCTAGTTAAATTACAGTTACTTATGAAAATGTTAACGATTACAAAGGGGGTTACGTCTGATTTTTTACACACACCCACATACAGATTTAATTGATTTCTTTCATAAATTGCAGAGACTTTTCTATATGAGAGACCAATGTTTCAGGAGTTTGGGACACAGAATAGGACACACGCTTATACGATAATGGCTTTATTTCCTATTTGGGTTTATGTATTATATGCTTTGTTTTTTAAGATGAACTGTTTTTTCCCAAGCCATTGTTAGATGCCAGTGTTTCCTGTCATAGTTATGCGAATATTTAATTTCAAAATCAGTACACTCTTAAAAATAAAGGTGCTTCACGATGCCATAGAAGAACCTTTTTGTCTAAATGGTTCCATAAAGAACCTTTAACATCTGAAGAACCTTCCTGTTTGACAAAAGGTTCTTTGTGGCGATTATAAAAATTATAATTCTTCAGATTATAAAAAGTTAAGAAAGAAATGGTTCTTTAAATAACCTTTGACTGAATGGTTCTTTTTGGAACCAAAAAGGGTTCTTCTATGGCATTGCTGTGAAGAACCTTTTGAAGCACCTTTATTATTAAGAGTGTAGCTGCTAAACTATTTCTTGTTATGGTTTTAAACCTATATTTAACCTCAGAATGATTTCAAAGTAAGTCTAATTTTGTGGTGGCTGTGCTTTAAAATTAAATTATTATGATCTTAATTCAAGAGATAAAGGATTTTGAAAGTCTGACAGTAATCAGTTTTGAGTAGGCCTACTACTGTAAGCTTAACACTGCCTGGTTTACAGGTTTGAAAATGATTAACAGTTGAAAACAGTAGAAATTTAAAAAAGTAATCAAATGTAATCAGTTAGGCTACACTACTTTTTAATAAAGTAACTGAAATAGTTACACTACTTATTGCATTTTAGATTTACATTACATTACATTTATATTTAGTCATTTAGCAGATGCTTTTATCCAAAACGACTTACAAATGAGGACAACGGAAGCAATCAAAACTAACAAAAGAGCAATGATATGCAAGTGCTATAACAAGTCTCAGTTAGCTTAACGCAGTACACGTAGCAAGTTTTTTTTTTTTATATAATAAATAAAAAGAAAACAGATAGAATGGAAAAAGAATAGAGCAGGTTAGTGTTAGAGGCAAGAGCAAGGCACCGAAGCCCCAACTGCTCCCCGGGCGCCGCAGCATAAATGGCTGCCCACTGCTCCGGGTGTGTGTTCACGGTGTGTGTGTGTTCACTGCTGTGTGTGTGCACTTAGGATGGGTTAAATGCAGAGCACTTATTCCTAGTATGGGTCACCATACTTGGCCACGTCACATCACTTTAAATAAAAAGAAAACAAATAGATAGAATACAAAAAGATTTGGAAAGCTAGTGTTAGTTTTTTTATATAAAGAAAACAAGCAGTAAATTAATAGAGTGCAAGTCTAAAAGGGACAAGTTTTTTTTTGTGTGTAAAGAATAGAATTAGAATAGAGAGTGCTAGAGTTAGAGGGTCAAATAAAGATGGAAGAGATGTGTTTTTAGCCGATTCTTGAAGATAGGGTAACTTGTAATCTGTAACCTATTACATTTCCAAAGTAACCTTCCCAACACTGTGTATATATATGCCAATAAATAGTTCATCTTTTATTTGTTAGTTATTGGCTGCTGCGGGGGCCTGTAACCTTTGTTAACGCCGTCCCCACAGTTTCACAAGATCAACGTCCAGTCCCTGAGCGTTCATAATAAACGTGCTTTCTAATATGACGTTTGGACGCTGACAGCGTCACCGTGGTAACAGCCCTCAATTACCCATGATTGGCCGACCCGAGGGAATATTTAAATTAACCCTGTGCGCTGATTGGCTGGTGGGCGGTCTTTGGAGGCGCGAGAGTCTGCACCGTTCCGGGTTTTTGTCAGTCTCAGCTGCGCGGCGCAGGGGTGAGGCGCGGTACCTCTGAGCGTATCACAGAGACGCGGAATACAGACAATTTACTGATTTAAGTTGATTCATTCTAGCTTGATATTACCATGAACAAGAGCTGCAACCTTTGGAGTCCTTCAGAGGAATAATTAAACGGACAGCGGAGTTGAAATCGCGACGGAAGGTTTGGGGATGAAGAGAACCGCTGGAAGTGAACGGTGATTTCTCTTCTCGAGGATTAAACGGCGTATATTAAATTCCTGCACCTGCTCTCCTGTTAAAGGAATATTGCCTTAAACACAACCAGGGCTTTCTAGTATATGCCGAGGATAAAACATTCCTCTTGATTGTATACGCCAAAGTCTGTTCGCTCTTCGGATTTAAGGACATTTGCGAATCGCAGTTTGTTTAATTGGCAAAGCACTTATTTATCTATCTATCGGATTCGTGTCAGCAGAATAAGCTGTCGTTTTTACTGGAGTTTGCAATTTCCTACTAAGCCTTACTCGGAGATTATTCCAGTAAGTAAACGCGTAAAAATTCTGACCGACGACGGAATCTTTTACGGTAACGTTAGTTCAAAACGCAGTTAACGGAGCGCAATTGAAAAACGGCATTTTTTGGAAACAGCTCCTCACTTTGATCCTCCGTCTCCTATTTAACGAAAAACAGATCGGGTTCATTAAAAAAAAGAAGAGATCTTAAAAGGATCAACGATCCTGCAGAAGAAGCTGTTTTGGATGACTTCTTTCTTCTTCTTCTTTTTTACGCGTGTGAAGAACGCAAATAAAAGGAAATCAACTTATAATAATTCAACTGAATATACCAGGGATTATACATTTTTTGCCATTTCATCTAAGGACAGAATGAGATATTGATTTTTTTCTCTCTCTCATCATTTCCCCCTCGTCTGTTCTTGTCCTTTCCTGTTATCGCCAACCTGCATGGAACTCTAGTCAGCACCACAGAGCGATTTATGGTAAATAAATTCTCCCCTATTCATTATTTCAGCCTTAATTGATCTTTTAATAAAAATATACATGCTTGTTTTTCCAATAATTAAGCAGGTTTTATGTATGCATCATAATTTAACGCTCCTCGAGACGTAGTAGGCTACAATACAGTAGATTAAAAGAAAAATAATGTTCTTTTGAAATGTATAGTTATAAAATATTGTATTGGCCTTAAATAACAGCTATGGTTCATAGCAGGTTACCACAGTTTTATCACGGAAACAATAACCAAAGTTACTAGCTACTGTGGTTATCATAGTGATTCTTTTGTTATGGTAATGTAGCTACATTGTTGCGCGCACTTTGAGCGTTATATTATGAAAGAAGTGTATGCTGTAGTAAAATCCCAATTATGCAAAATGAAAGGTAACAGAATCGCCTTTGCCTGGATGGTGATTTATAGCAATGATTAGCTTCATTTGAATAAAGCTTCGCTTCTGTCGCCATAAAATATCGTTAAGTGGTATCGGGTGGCGTCTTTTTGGGTCCCTGACAGAACATACAACCTTTGTTTCACGGTTTTACCTGTAAGAAATAAAGGAAGTGCAGTAAATGGAGGTGTCGGGCGCTGAATGGCCCCAGGACGCGCTTTGATGTGCACCCGGGGTGTTTAAAGAGTGCGCTGACAGGATGAATGCTCTCAAAGCATAAAATCTGGTTACAACTCGATGGCAGGCGAGATAATCTGAATATAAAGGTGCGAAACTCTTTGCCAGCTGCTCCTCGTCTTAGTTTCAGCACAGACTGTGTGTCAATGATTTCCTTTATGACTTAATAATCGCTAACTACTGAATTTAAATAGCAGTGCGGCTGGAGCTCTACTGGGCTGGTTATCTCAGTTGTGTCCTTGAGCAAGGCACTTAACCCCAGGTTGCCTCAGGAGGACTGACCCTATATATGAAAAGTAAGATGTTTTGGGTAAAAGCTTCAGCAAAGTAGTTTTACGAGTGGCTCATGGCAAGATGTGAAAGGTTTGATTGATTAAATGCTTTGTGTGTTCAAGGCCCGTTTGGACGGTGGGCTTGGTCGTCAGCAGGCTTTTCATGTGAAACTATTATCCCAGCACTCAGATGTCAGCTGTTCTTTCTCCATGCACTGTTTGCAGTTTCCAAGAACTGATGTTTTGCATGTGCTATCTCTATGAAATCTAATCAGTGAATGCTTGAATACTGGCTAAAGTTCAGCCTGGGTTTTATTTAGCCGTTAAGGCAGGTTAGTTGGCCCGAACAAATGTTGTGGTTTTTAATTTATTTCCAGAGACTTTAACCCGCGATATCTACAGTCTTTCAGAGATTAAAAAGGATAGTTAAACTCTTAAAAATAAAAGTTCCATAAGGGTTTTTTGTAGAGGTGCAGTAGAAGAACCATTATGGGTTCCTCATAGAACTTTTCTGTGAACAGTTCTTAAAAGAATCATTTTTGTAATATTTTCCACTATAAAGCTTCCATGGATGATAAAGGTTCTTCATGGCACTGTTGATGTTAATAAAGAACCTTTATTTTTAAGAGCGTTAACAAACTTTCCCCTCAGGGCCGGCTCCACAGGAGGCCCCTGGGTGGGTTTGACCAACTTAATCATGAGCTTGGCCCACCCGGAAGGTCCTATGGCACACCTTAAGGGTGTGTTCACACTTGTAGTTTGGTTCATTTGGTCCGGACCAAAAAGGAAAATTATACATTTGGTCCTGGTCTGCTTAGCGTTCACATTGGCATTTTTGACAGCGAACCTAAAGACAACGAATCTAAAGGCATAGTGATACGTTCACAACCTGATTGGTCGGCTTGAATGACGTATATATCGTGACGGAACTCACCGAACACCCCAAACAAAAGGTGCGTTAGACTTAAAGCGGCGCTGCGGGTGTATGATATCAAAGCACCCATTAACCGATCGGTCTGATCAACGCCGCTTTAAGTCGAACACACCTAATGCCGTCTGCTGGACTAAGCGCGCTCATTCTTGCGTGTACATATAATTTTATTTTCACTAGCTGCAAACTCACAAGGAGCTCATAAAAGGCACTTTACCTCATCGTTGCTCCACGTTTGCCCTCCGCTCATTTTGTGTTGGTTACACCGCGTTGTCAAATCATGTCGCATAGCGTCACATCTTGTCATTACTTCCTGTTTTTGGTTCATTTAGAAGTATTTGGTCCGAGTTGCGTTCATATATCATTCGAACTGCACCAGAGTTCGTTTGGAAGCGGACCGAGACCCACCTTTTTAGCGGTCTCGGTCCGCTTGTTTGGTGCGCACCAGGGTTTGGAACGCATCCTACATCTTTAGATGTTGCTGTATCGTTCTTGAACAATCAATATCTGATGCAAAACAGCCTCAACTTAGGCATATTATTAATTCATTCTTAAAAGTAGCTCAAGTAGTTAAACGTAGCAAAATAAGTAGCTGGTAAAAAAAACATTATATTTAGACTAGCGCGAGCATGCATATTGATTGTCTGTCAGTCAGGAAAGAGAGTTTTATTCTCCCCCCATACATCACAATTTGAGTCTCGCGAGGCCCCCCGTCATTTCTCCGCTGCTCTGACTAATGCGATTGGCCCCCTGCTCCACGGTGGACGTTCCACTCTGCAAGTCATCACTCCAGAGGCTTAGGGCTCTGGCTCTTAGCTCGGCTCCAGCATGTGGCCTTCCTCAGGGCCTGGCAGCCTCATTACCCCAGCAGAGTCCCTCACTCTGAGGGCTGCGACTCCCTCCACCCGTGGAGACAGCACCTGTCAAGGAGCATGGTCACCACTCTATTGAATAAAACATTCAGTGATGTATGAGTGGAAAGGTTCACCTCCGGGGGCCAGAGTTGCCTCATTTCCTACTCCTGCTGCACATCCGTGACCCGCTGAGCAAATTGGCCCGGTATTAGCTCTGTGGCTCGATCTCACCTAAACAAATAGAGCTTCCAGCATAATGCTAATCTCAACTGAGCCAAGCGTGCGTGGGGGAGAGGGGGAGATAGCTGGTGGTGATATGGTACGGTCTAATATTTAGGTCACTGAATGGCCTTAGCATTGTTTCTCATTTTTCATAGCTTATTTCATTTTTCCTTTTTGTCACTTTTTCGTTTTTGTTGACTTTTTCCACATCTGACTCTATCTAGGGATGTTCATTTCGGTTATTTTTCCTAACCGACGCTCGTTAACCGATTATTAACCATTAACCGACAAGATTATTTTAAATTTGAATTTAATTAAATTAGAAAGGATACGTGTCTGTGACCCGTTAAAAAATACTAACATTTGTTTCCTGGGGATTCATTTTACATGTGCAAAAAGCAGCAAACAACAGAACATGAGGATTCACATGGCCATCATATCACATCACGCATAGCAGAAGTAGTTGCTTCCACTGTTAGAAGGAAAAAATTCAAGTGATTGCGCCGGCGCCGCATGCACGCACGCACACAGTTAAAGCATTACTGCCTTGACAATACAGCCTGTTCATTATCATAATAAAATACAGTCAGTCAAACATATGGAAAAAACACACTGCTCAGTTTAAATATGTAGTACAATCTGTGCCGTTAAGCGTTATCACCGTACCGCCGTGATGTTACGCAAACCATTTTGTTTTACGTGGATATTGGAACACGAGTGAAGTATGCTACATAATAAATAATATTTTGGCATTCAAATACATCGCGAATACGGAAACATTTGATTTTGTGTCGAATGAGAGACGCAGCGTTGGTTTCGGTTTCGTTTTAGACTAAATGAATTCGTTTTGGCTTGTCGTTTAGCTATAGCTTCTTATATTTTTAATTCTTGTTCTTTTCTAAATACTGTTAATTGAAAGGATTTGTTGTGGAGTGAGGGGAACTAAAATAGCCTAGCTATGTTTACAGTGTTTATTATAATGTTTGTAAACATTTCGTGTCGGCATTAGGCCTATTTCTGAATGAAATAATAAAATGCGACTTACGTTTTTTTTTTTCATCTAAAAAAAGCAATTTTTTTTAAAAGCATAGCGTATTTCAACAATGCAGCAAACCTTTTTAAATATTTTGATAAATTACTACAAATAAATAAATGACTTTTTTAAACTGTTTAACTGATTGTATTAATTGGTCAAAATTCTTCACGGTCGGTTAACGGTTAACCGGTTAAAATGAACATCCCTAACTCGATCACGTTGGCACATTTGCACCCATTATTAGTTTTGAGAGTCAAACTTGCATTTTTCCTTGTGAGCCGTAGCTGTTTTTTCCACACGAGGTAATTACGAAGAGTTTGACAACAGAAAACTGATGTCAAGATGATTTGGAAGGACTTCATGCCCTGAAAGCCATCCAAAAAGAAACTCAGTTTATTGTACCATCGTCAGCAGAAAGGTTTCTCTTGATGGAGAAACGCTGTTTGGGTGCAATTCAACCTCTGCCGACTGTATTGAATGGGAAAGATCTTAATGAGATTAAATCAAGAGCGAATTTACAGAGGTATGAAGTTGAACTCGTACCCATCTCACCGTTTCTGCCTCTGCGGCAGATGTTGATGGATAGTTTAATTTCGCTAGGATATTAGATATATATTATTAGATATTATTAAAGAAGCGTGCGCTGTTCATTTGAATATAGAGATAACTGTGTAGATTGATTGATTGATGGCCATGGGGTGAAATCACTCAACCACTTTCTTATTAAAACCAGTGAGAGCGAGGTTTTCGCTCATGAATATCGTTATATTAGTAAAACTTTAATTTCCTGCTTTATATATTAATCTGTTTTTAGGTATTGTCTCAGCTGGTATAGTCCTAGTAGTTCCCTGGTCGTATGATCAAACCTTTCTTTCTGGAAATCGATAACAGAGAGTAGCCTTTCTGTATCTATAAATAAGCTTTTACAGAAACGCATCTTTCGCTTTACCCACTTTCCCTTTTTTCCCCCTGTGGGCTTGGTGAGGCAGTTAGTTGGATGGATGGGGCAGGACATGGTCCTTGAACTTATCTCTCTGGAGCGT